CGGCCATAAATATGGCCTAATGGCTGAACGCGGTTTCTGGGACCTCTCCACGGTTGTCCTCATCCACATGGTGGCACATTGTGTCATCGGGTGTTTATCGCTTGTGTGATGTCCTGGTGGGGTAGAAAGTCAGTCAGTCAGTTGGTAAGTTACCATTATCGGCTATTCTTTAGAAACCTACAGTGAAAAGGTAGACAATGCAGTGATGGCGACATGTAATAGGATCTATCCGCCCCTCAGAAAAGAATACTACAGGGCTCCATACATGGAGGAGTGGAGAAGATCAAGAATGACCTAGATTCAAAACATCAATGACTAGATAGGTCTCAGGCATGCAAACACGAAGTCCATCACAACTGACCGCCAAGAGTGGAGAGAGCACGCAGTGTTACCGAATGATCATTATGAAGTCACATGAGAAGCTCAAGACAGATATAGAAAACCCGGACATTGGGCTATTACGTGGTATCCGTGAGACGACAAAATAAAGAACAAAGAAAGAAAGTACTCCACAGTGAACGCATAAGCAGCAGGAGACGCAATGTCGTCAATAGGCGTCAACCTTCAGCAAATGTTTGGCTCCCTTAACCCAAAAACTCTTTCCGGGAGCGCGTCGACCGGTTCATGACTCCTGGACTTCGGGGCTTTCCTGTGGTGCTTGCGACACGCGTTAGAGCTACTGAAACTTGCTTGTTGCTGATGGCAGCTAGTGCGTGTCAACCTGCCACCCTGCACTACGTATGACTGAACCAGCTCAGTAAAGTTATTATTATTAATATTTAACAGAACTAGACAAGTCACATAAATTACATAAATTATAAGCTGAGTTGCCTAGCAAGTCATACAGCCGTCCCAGTGTGGGATGCAATGTTTTGTTATTTGAAGCCCCACTCTGGCTTCTGCCAGGGGCCCAGAATGTAGTCGGGGCATAAATATGGCCTTTCCATAGATATGTCCTAACGGCTGAAAAGGAATTCTGAAACCTCTTCACTGGTGATCCTCATCCGCATTGTAGCACGTTGTGTCATCGAGTGTTAATCGCTTGTGAGATGTCCTGCATGCAGTGTATCTACCACCCCCTGAAATATTAGACTGTCCCGTGACCTGTGGATTTCCCATGCTAACGGCAGCATAATAAATCACCTAAAAGACACAAATATAGAAGACACCAATAACAGATCAAGCAGATGTAACACTAGAGAACACAATTAATTAAAAGTAACAGATCAAACTACCTGTTTAGGTGGTAATTTTGATAAAGGAAAAAAAAAAATGATGGCACACATTGGCAAGGCGTCAGCAGATTTTAATAGCTTGAACAACATATGTAATTCTAAATCGTAAAGTTTTAAAACCAAGCTACATATTTCCAATTCTAATATTATTTCAGTTTTAACATATGCAAGTTAAAGTTGGAGAAGCACTAAAGACATGGAGCGAAAGTTAAATGCATTCGAAAATAAGTGATTGAGGAAAATGATAAAAACAAAATTGAATGAATTCATTAGGAAATAAGAAGTTTGAAGTCTGAACATCGGACCGACATTATGGCACACGGGTGCTTTGTTCTACTCCTTACTCAAATCTGAGTCTGAAGTAGCTCAGCGTAGTGCACCGGCGAGGATCCGGAAATATTTTGGGTAGATTTCTAACCTTAAATTTTGACCTGGTAGCGCCGATAAGCTACTCTTTTCGATTCCCAACTGAAGGAAAAAAGAGAATGTCTGGGCAACCACTATTTTCAACTAGGGCTGTACCGAATAGTCATTTTCACTATTCGGCCGAATACGAATAGCTGGACCAACTATTCACCAGAATACGAATACGAATAGTGAATCATCATCAGCAGGTGCTTTGCCGACTGGCATGGGCGATTATGCCTCGCCACAATCTGCGATCTCCAGCAGCATGTATCAGTTCGTGTGCAGACACACCTCCATGCCATGCAACAAGACTGTCAAGCATCTTCTCTCGTTGTCTTCCCCTATCCCTCCTTCCACACTTTCCAGTGGTCACAACATGTTCTATTTACCCTCTTCTCATAACATGACCGAAAAATGATGACTGTCTCCTTCTGATGTCTGTAAGTAGTTGTCTTGGGGCTCCCGCCTCTTTCAAAACCTCTTGGTTGCTTTTTTGTGTGTGTGGCTGTCCAGGGTATTTTAAGCATTGTTTTGTTAAACCACATCTCTGAGGCCTCAAAAAATTGTGTTGGCCTGCCTACCCATTGTCTAGGACTCACAGCCATATGTTAAAATTGGCTGTATGTAGCAAGCAAGAATTCTTGTTCTAATTTTCAATGATAAAAATATATTGCATAAGACGTTCTTCATTTTATAAAATGCAGTTTTTGCCTGTCTTATTCTGTTTCTTATTTCAGTAATGCATCTTCCATCTGATGTTATCCATGTTCCCAGATACTTACATTTCTGTACTTGTCCCAAAATAAAACCATTGACTTTTTTAAACACATTTTGGAATAATTATCTTCTTTGATACCACCATTACTTCTGTCTTCCCACTATTCAAATTGAGGTCCATTCTTCCACTTTCGTATAGTGTATGAAATAGATTTAAAAAAAAAAAAAAAAAAAATCATCCATAATGTACGCTAAAATTGTACTTCACAAAATGTAGTACAGAATAGTAAACATTTAAAAACATTTCATGTTGTGCATCCTTCAGTCGGTCAGTCTGCGGTAACTAATACCTAGGAATGAAAGTATTCTTAGTTTTATAACAAGTAACTAAACTTGTAAATTGTGACTGACAGCTAAGTTAATCCACGAAAGCGGCATTAGCTTTAAAAAAAATCAATCGTTCCATTTTGTCTGCATTAAGGCAGCTTCTTGTCTCACTGAAGGTATTTCCGGCTGTACTAAACAGACGTTCATTTGGTACTCTCGTAGGTGGTGCACAAAGATAACGCTTGACAGTATGAACCAAAGTGAGAAATTTTTGATATGTTCATTTTCCACCAGTCCAGAAACGAGTGTAAGGTAACCACTATTCGTATTCGATCCGACCTCAACTGTTCGGCCGAATACCGAATTGTTATTAGGTCCACTATTCGGCCCTGAAGCGAATACGAAGCAAATGTTCGGTACAGCCCTAGTATCAACAGTTGTAAGACAGAGAAGATCGCGCTACATTGGACACATCCTGAGAAGAAACTAGAAGAGAATTACCAAAAAGGCATTAACATGAGACATAAAGGGACTGAGGAGGCGAGGACGCCCTAAAATAACCATAAGACGAACGTTGATGAGGGAGGCCAAAGCTGCTAGACTAGATTCCATCCGTGATTGTAGCATATTTGCTATTGATAGAACGTCATTCACTTATAAAAAGAAAAGGGGGAGAACCGTGAGGTCGTAGAATATTATAAATATAATAAATAAACAGAAAATCTATTGATAGGCACTCATAGAAGAAATGAGAAAGACGAAAGGACACACTAGACAATGTAGGAATCAAAAGCTGTAGTTACCCTGCCAGGAATAGATAGACATGACCAATAAAGATGATTTATTTTAGGGGTGCCTTGTTGGTCATGTTCTTAGTACACTTATTTCTAAACCGATGCACACACGCCTTTTGGAGGTGACACGTCACTATATCTTTCGATTTTCACCTCGCTCAGCGTATCCTTCAATTTTTAAATTAAAAAAAAGTGTGCTTATCAATACATTGTCTGTTTTGTTTATTCAACAGGGTAGAATGAAAAAAAAAAGGAATAGACTGCACACCTTATGTGATATAAAATGACGCAACAGAATAAAGAATGTTTTGTACCCGTATCTATTCATGTAATGTGCTGTTGAAGGCTTTTTAGCCTCATCTATCCCTTGTCGATTGTGATAGTGTAAGGCGGATCAATTCTACTTTTCGTTTAGCTGGTAATTTTACAGAGAAAGTCTCTGATCTTAGATTAGACCAATGTAAAGCCACATAAGACACAAATCGTTACCGTCTGTCGTTCCACCCCACCAGGCCCCGCATGACGAGCGACCACCATTAGCTGACAAAAAGTGTCCCTATTCGGATGAGAATCACACAGGCACAAGTCCCAGAAAACCCTGTTCATCGCTAAGTAACATTAGGGTTACCGAATATAGCCGGGAAGGGTCTCTAAAATAATGAAAAATAGTGTTCCACATTAGGACTAGAGTATTTCTATAAATAAAACAGCTATCTCCTCACCAGACTTGCCTGCTAAATTAAGGGACCCTTTTCCACGCCTTTAGGCGCATAGGG